GTTAAAAAATAAATAACTTGGGGCTGGTGCTGTGACGCAGCGAGTTAACGCCCTGGCCTGAAGCGCTGGCATCCCACATGAGCGCTGGTTCTAGTCCCGGCTGCTCCACTTCCAATCCAGCTCTCAGCTATGGCCTGGGAAACCAGTAGAAGATGGCCCAAGTCCTTGGGCCCCTGCACCTGTGTGGGAGACCTGGAGGAGGCTCCTGGCTCCTGGCTTCCGATTGGCGCAGTTCCGGCCGTTGCGGCCGATTGGGGAGTGAACCATCAGATGGAAAACCTCTCTCTCTCTCTCTGCCTCACCTTCTCTCTCTGTGTAACTCTTTCAAATAAATGAATAAATCTTCATAAATAAATAAATAAACAAGGAAGCAAAAAAAGAAAAACAGAATTGGCACCATTATTTTCTTGGACTGTAGGAGGTCACCTTCCCTGCCTCTTAAGGCACTGAGCAGAAAAGGTTATCCTTGCTGTGGATTGGCAGTCTGGACAGGGCTTGTTTGATATAGTCTCATTTGTCCATCCCCTCTAGCATGAGTAGATACACAGACTTCCAGTAAATTCTTGGATTTAAAAACATATATATTTCTGAACAAGGGGGAAGCTATATTCTATTGAAATTTTTCCAAGTACCTTAGCCTTACTGATAGAGGTGATTTGTGATCCTGAGGGACAGTTGAGGAAATGAATGGTCAGAAAAGAGCTTTGTCCCAAGTCCATCTCAAAGCTTTATATAGATCCACTGATAAGCCTCAGGAAAGCCACCAGCTTCCCATCAACCAACCCACTTTTCTCTGTGTGCTACAGTCTGAATGTGATTTGGCCACTGAACTCAAGCAGATGTATTAAACCCCAAAGTCATAAATTAATTATAAGATGGAAATTTAATACAATTGTTGATTTAGGAGGTAGACTTAGTGGGAAGTCCTTAGGTCATTGGTGGCACGTCCTTGGAAGGTAATTCTTTTTTTTTTTTTTTTTTTAAGATTTATTTTTACTTATTGGAACGGCAGAATTATAGAGAGGGAGGACAAGAGACAGAGATTGATCTTCCATCTGCTGATTCACTCTCAGAATGCCTGTAACAGCCAGGGATGGGCCAGGCTGAAGCTAGAAGCCTGAAACTCCATCTGAGTCTCCTGCATGGGTGGCAGGGGCACAAGTACTTCAGTCATCTTTCACTGCTTTCCCAGGTGCATTAGCAGAGAGCTGCATTGGAAGTAGAACAGCTGGGACACAACCAGCTTAACCTGCTGTGCCACAATGCCAGCCCCCTGTAGGTAATTATTGCAAGAAGTGTGATTATAAAATCCTCAGTTAAGTTCAGCCCAGACCCTTCCTTGCTCAATTCTTTATTCACTCTACCATTGCCATCTGCCACTTTCACCAGATGTCAAACCAATGGGACCACCCAGTATTGAACCTCCAAAATTATGAGCCAAATATATTTTTTCTCTTTATGAACTTAGTTGCCTCAAGCATTTTGTTGTAGTAACAAAAAACTGACTAATACAGTATCACATCTGCAGATTCTGCAGCGGTAGTTTATGTGTCTCAGGAAGAGCTGCACATAAAATGGATGATACAAGCAATGTGGTAGGTTCTTTAGGACCTCCATCAGACCTGCTAAACGTAAGGAAAACCAGGATGTCCATTGTTGTGAAAATCTAACCTTAGTCATCCCAGCTTCTTCCTTCCAGAGAGGGTTTCCACTTAAATCCCAGATTCCAAAATAGCTGTTTAGTAGTCTCTAATTATGGCTATTTGAGTTTCTGGCTGTTTCTTGTCTGCTGTTTACCTCTTGCCTGGTTCCAAAGCATATATTCTTAGGCATTTAAACTACTGAGTCGGAAGTATACCCTACCACCTCCTTGAAAAAATAAATGAGACTTTTCAGTGATAAGCCATAGGCAGCTTCTTCCCAGGAACCTTTTTATCTAAGACCTTCTATATTTCCTTATTGTCCTTTTGGGGAAATTCTTCCCCAAGGAATAGGAATCACCATAACAGTTGATTGTACTGTTTTGCAAGTTAAACACGGTAGAAAGTTCTGGAAGTTCCCTTAAAGCCCACCCACTGAGTGTATACTGAGTCTGTGCCAAAAACCAAGCTGGTACTGTCTCTGCCCATCTCTAGCTCATACCACAGAGGTACTGTGCTGGCCTTTTGCTGCTTTGTGACAGATTTTAACCTTCTAGAAGAATAGCAATAAAGAGGAATCTGGAGTGCCATAAAGTTTTAGACTTCTATTTTACATTTTACTAAATTTTTGGTATTTGAGGATAATCATTTTTAATAGCCTGTGCATCAATGTTTTCAGTCCTTGGAATGTCCTCTTTTCTGCCCTCCATGACTCCTGATTTGTGTGAGAGTTTTTCCTTAGTTGGTTTGGTTTGTTTTGTTTAAACCATGCTCATACCCTTCCTATACTCCTCTCCTCCGACTGCGTATTTTTGACTCTTCTCAGTTCTGACTCAGGGCTACTACGTATTCCCTTGTTAGGACACAGCTAGCTGCTTCCACGGAGCCATCTCAGGTCAGAGAGCAACTCAGCAATTCCAGGCTTCCTTCAGTCTTTCTCCTCTTAATTTCTTTATATTGCACATTGATTCAATGTAGGGATTCTAGAGTCGAGCAGACCTGGGTTTGAATTGCTCCCTAGCAGCTGTGTGGTTTTGGGTAGATGGCTTAACTTCTCTGTATCAGTTATTTCATTTGCAAAAGGTGATTGCTGTTTGTACCGTATCAAAGGTAAAAATGGTACCCCCAGAATCATTAGAAAGGTTTTTTCTAATTAAAAAGGTAAGGCTCCTTCCCCAAATCTACCAAAGTAATTAGTAGGGCCAGGAAAGTGAGGGTGATTTTGTTTGTTATTTTTTATACTGCCTGGTGATTTTTCAGGTGAAATGGCTATATTTATAAAAGTGACTCCTGGGGCTAGCATTGTGGAGCAGTAGGTTAAGCCACCACTTGTGACGCGGGTGTCCAATATCAGAGTGCTAGTTTGAGTCCCAGCTTCTCTAATTCTGTTGCAGCTACCTGATTATGCACCTGGGAAGGCAGGGGAAGATGGCCCAAGTATTTGGGCCCCTGCAACCCACATGGGAGACGTGGATGGAATTCCTGGCTCCTGGCTTCCATCTGGCCCAGACCTGACTGTTTCATCCCTTTGGAGAATAACCAGTGCATGATGGAAGATCAGTCTCTCTCTTTCTTGCTTTCACTCTCACTTTGCCTTTCAAACAGATATGTCTAAAAAAAAAAAAATCACTCCTATAATATGCATAGAATATTTAGCACAGTACCTGGATAGAGTAAGTGTGCAATTAATATTAGTGGTGATTTTCTGTTTTTTTAAAAGATTTATTTATTTGAAAGAGTTACACAGAGAGAGGAGAGGAGAGGCAGAGAGAGAGAGAGAGGTCTTCCATTTGCTGGTTCACTCCCCAGTTGGCTGCAATGGCCAGAGCTGTGCCGATCCAAAGCCAGGAGCCAGGAGCTTCTTCCTGGTCTCCCATGTGGGTGCAGGGGCCCAAGGACGTGGGCCATCCTCTACTGCTTTCCCAGGCCATAGCAGAGAGCTGGATTGGAAGTGGAACAGCTGGGACACAAACCAGCCCCATATGGGATGCCAGCAATGCAGGCGGTGGCTTTACCTGCTACACCACAGCGCTGGCCCCTGTGGTGATTTTCAAAAAGACCTCTCCTTCCACATGCCAGTTTTCAGGAACCAAGAAGGTACTCTTTTTTTATTAATTTACTTATTTATTTATTTTAATCTGAGAGACAGCTCCATTCTATTGGTTCACTCCAAATGCCCACAACAACCAAGACTGCTTGAGGGGGCTGGCACTGTGGTGTAGCAGGTAAAGCTGCCACCTGCAGTGCCAGCATCCCATGTGGGCGCCTGTTCAACTCCTAGCTACTCTGTTTCCCGATCCAGCTCTCTGCTATGGCCTGGGAAGGCAGTGGAATATGGCCCAAGTCCTTGGGCCCCTGCACCCACGTGGGAGACCCAGAGGAAGCTCCAGGCTCCCGGCTTCACATCAGCCCAGCTCCATCCATTGTGACCATTTGGGGAGTGAACCAGCATATGGAAGACATTCTCTCTCTCTCTCTCTCTCTCTCTCTCTCTCCTTTGCCTCTGCCTCTCTGTAACTCTCTGCCTTTCAAATAAATAAATAAATCTTAAAAAAAAAAAAAAAAAAAAAAAAAGACTGACTGGCTGAGGACCAGAATGAGAAACTGGTAATTCAAGCCCAGTCTCCCATGAGGGTGGCGGGACCTCAGTTACTTGAGCCATCACTGCTGCCTCCTAAGGTCTGTGTTGGTAGGAAACTGGAGCCAGAAGCTAGAGCCAGAAATCAAACTCAGACACTCCAATGTGGGAAGCAGGCATCTTAACCACTAGGCTGACTACCCAGTCCCAAATGCTCTTTAAATACCTTCAGATGCTAAGAGTCAGTGGTGCTGCTCTTCAGAGTATGTGTTAGGATCTGGAGTAGCCTTTTATGTGGAATGGTGCATTTTAAAAATATCCTTTTTTTTTTTTTTCATTGAATGAGTATGATCTTAATTAGCCAGAGTCTGTGGTGGAGCTGTGGGGAACCCATTGTTTCAATAATTGCTTTAAGAAGACTTGTGATTTCTGAGCCTCAGATGAAATTAGGTATATATTCCTAGGTGAAACAGGTCAGGGACCAGCCTCGGCTTCACCTCCTGACCAAAGGAGGAAAGGTTAGATGGAATTTTTACCTCTGAGGCTGGGGCCCCTAAAGAAGTGAAGTCAGAGTATCTGATCATTTCAGGTCCTGGAAAAAAACTCATTATAAGCATATCCCAACTCCAGGCTTCTCTAAAGCCATGTCTTTCCTTGACCTGCCATTCAGTCTTCCAGACTAAATGGCTGTTCTTGGCCAGGGAAAACCTGAACCTCGAGCCAGTGGTGGGAGGATGGTGATGGGAGCGTGGCCACCCTCTTACTTGAGTGCTTTTTTGCAGGAGCAGCATCCAGGGCAGCGTCATCTGTAACAATGCCGTGATCGAGAAGGGAGCAGACATCAAAGACTGCTTGGTTGGAAGTGGCCAGAGGATTGAAGCCAAAGGTAATCCAGAGCCCAAGTTACAATCACAGATACCCTTTGTTACCCTGCCGCACTAGCACAGCTAATGCGCTGTGCTCCATGATGAGATAAGGGAGGCAAGCATAGGCATACACTGCAGATGACAGCATAAATTGATGCAACCAGCTTTGAAGAGCCCCTAAAACCTTGACTTAATCAAAATTTCAAGCCTCACCAAAATCTCAAACTTTGATTTGATCAAGAAGTAGATGAGGCTGAAGATCAGTAAAAAGAGCTGATTCCTTTTGAGATTATTCCTAAACTTTAAACAGCATAAGGTTGGAAGCTGCTGAAGTTAGTAACCTCACCAATTCTGTAGAAGCAATGTCATTTTCCTTCTCTTTGGTAACAGACACCTTCTTCAGTATTTTTCCCCTTCCCTTTTTAAAGTCACATATCAAAGCAAATTCAGACTACAATATGGCTGTTTAGTGCTGTGTTGTCGTTCCTCCTGCTCAAAGTAAGGTTGTTTCTTAACTATACCTGTCTGTTCCACCTCTGTAGCAGCCAAAGATGCTTGGTCTCATACATGTTAAGAAAAAGTCATGTATCTCCCTTTTAAGCTTTAGAATCTAACAGACCTAGGTTCGGATCTCAGCTATGCAACTCACTGGATGTGTACCAGTTTAAATTTTTAATCTCTAAATCTTAACTAGAAAAATTTGGACAATATTGCCTATGTAGGAGGCTTATTGTGAGGATCAGTTACAGTGGAACATTTGGTTTTTGTTTTATTTTTTTAAGATTTTATTTTAGGCCGGCGCCGTGGCTCACTAGGCTAATCCTCCGTCTTGTGGCGCCGGCACACCGGGTTCTAGTCCCGGTCGGGGAGCCGGATTCTGTCCCGGTTGCCCCTCTTCCAGGCCAGCTCTCTGCTGTGGCCCGGAAGTGCAGTGGAGGATGGCCCAAGAGCTTGGGCCCTGCACCCCATGGGAGACCAGGAGAAGCACCTGGCTCCTGCCATCGGATCAGCGCGTGTGCCAGCCGCAGCGCGCTGGCCGCGGCAGCCATTGGAGGGTGAACCAACGGCAAAGGAAGATCTTTCTCTCCCTCTCTCTCTCTCTCTCTCTCACTGTCCACTCTGCCTGTAAAAAAAAAAAAAAAAAAAAAAAAAAGAAGAAGATTTTATTTTATTTATTTGAGAGAGAGAGTTACAGACAGAGAGAGAGAGAAACAGAAAGATCTTCCATCTGCTGGTTCACTCCCCAAATGGCCACAACATCCAGAGCTGGCTGATCAGAAGCCAGGAGCCAGGAGCTTCCTCTGGGTCTCCCATGTGGGTACAGGGGCCTGAGTACTTCTACTGCTTTCCCAGGCCATCGCAGAGAGCTGGATCGGAAGAGGAGCAGTCAGGACTCGAACTGGTGCCCATATGGGATGCCAGCCCACAGGCAGAGGCTTCACTCGCCATGCCACAATGTGGCACCACAGTGAAATGTTTTAAGGAGTATACCCTACTCCTGGAACATGCTAGGGGGTCTTAGAGTTCCCACATACCACCATGCTCTTTTATCTCTCCACTCTTTGCATGGGATCTTTCTTCCTGAATTTCTTTTCTCAAAGACTCTGCCTAAGGGTTCTCTCCTATAGAGCCTTTCCTAACTCTTCCCGTGACTTACGCAGAACTGAACATTCCTTCCCCTGCGTCCCTGAACTTTGCCACAACTTTATCAAAGTATTCATCGCACTTACTGACAGTTATCTGTGAGTTTGTGTTCCCTACTAGACTGAGATTCTCAGGGCGAAGCCATCTGTAGCACTCAGAACAGCTGCTGATGGTGCTAGAAGCAGGCAGGCAAGCAGTGAATTTTGCATCCATAAAGCATACTTCAGGGGATTTCTGGGCAGAAAGTCAGGGTTCCAAGAAAGAACTCTATGAGATGTTTGCAGTTATCATGAGATGGGCTTCAGCATTTCCTGTACCTTCTGACTTAGTAACTAGCACTATGAAGCTACTTTTTAACAGAGACTCCTGAATGGTTCTTCTGAAGGGAGGGGTAGCCAGGGAAGTCATCTGGGCTCTATACTGAGAACCTTACAACTCCTTACTCTCTGTTCTCTTCTGGAGGACCAATGCCTACAACACAGTAGGCACTGCCTTCCTGCCACAGGTGCTCCCTGGCCAATCATCTGTTCCCACTGTCACTGTAATAACGGAAGTTATTGAGCCATATGGAAAAAGCAAATTCCTAGCCACCAATGTAGCACTCAAGCCCTGTTATTACAGAAGACCTTGACAGACATCCACTAAGGTTCTTACCAGCAAAGAGCTGAATAGATGGCAAAGTCCCTGCCAGTGTTTCTCACATGGAAGAATTTCAGGAAATTTCAGTAAATTAGATCCTAATTTCTAATATTAAGAAGTTCATCCTAAGAAGTAATACTGTCCAAATTCTAAGCATTTTTTGTATTAGGGTTTGTTTGTTTATTTATTTATTTGAAAGGCAGATTGACAGAGAGAGGAACAGAGATCTTCCATCTATTGGTTCACTCCCAAATGGCCTCAATGGCCAGGGCTGGTCTAAC